CAAGTGTTCTCCAGCACAAGTACATTAGAAAGGAGCTTTATTATATTCTTCTGGGCACAAAAAAAAATGTGATGAAGGCGGAACTGACAGACTTTCTACATCTGTTGTACGCATTGACCTCTTTAATTATTTCATAAACAGCTATGTCACGAGCATCACTTACACAGAGATACAACAGGACACCAGGCGGGTGGGGCAGGAACCCGCTCGGGCCCCACTCGTCCCTCCCTGGATGTCCTAGAACCAGACTGTGAAATGTACATTATTATTGTCAATAAATAGAGAAGCAACCCTAAAAAAAAAAAAAACAAAAAAACAAAAAAAAAAACACAGTGGTGAAAGGATGCTGGAACCAGGAAAAAAAAATAATAAAGGAAAAAAGAGGAACTTAAGAGAAAGGAAAGAGGGCTGGGGAGGGAAGGGCCTGGGAAGTCCTGCATTTAGCTGCGTGGAATGTGGAGTAAAAGTGCTCTGCCACCGGGGTCAAAGCGAAATCGTCTGTAACAGTAAAAGTTATTACCAAATCAGCTACGGAGTTTATTCTTCAGTATGAATACATGATTTCCCACAAATAAGTAAGCACCCGCTACTTCAATGCCTCAGCTAAAACACATGAAATCGCTCATTTAGTTTTCAAGTACAAAGTTAAAATGCCTTTTTAATAATAATATATCAGAGTAAAATAATAGTCTCTTTTAAACTCCACTACAAGAAAACAAAACAAACAGTCATTGTCCAGACAGCAGACTTAATTTAACAATATATATTTTTAATAAAATGTTTTAGCACCTTGTTGAGTCACCTCCTCCCTCTGCGTATTCTAAGGAATTTCAGCATTTTTGTTGTCTGTTGAATTCTAGGGCTGTGCAACCAAATCGGTCTGTGAAGTGAAATGGGACTCAGGGACTTTAGACCGCTGCTCATGTTCTCAGGTACAGGGGTGGAGGCCGCTCAGCTGGGGCTGGGGAGCCACCCTCCTTGCCCCTCCAGTGGAGCTGAGCCAGGGAGCTTTCCAGTTACGGGAGTTTTGGGAGTCCCGGGCCCTCTGGTGGGGGAAGTGAGTAAGTCACCAGCAAAGGGATCTTCTGTCCTTGTCCTCCCTGCTCGCTTCTCTCCCCCTACTCCCCAAAACTCTGCTGCCTCGGGTCAGAGACAGGTCACCCACCAAAGGCCCACCTTATATGGGTCTCAGAAACACAGAGACAAGGCTCCCCAACTCGGTCCCCAAAGACCCTGGCCTGTCTTTACCAAAACGTAAAGATTGCAGAGCTCCCGCTACAACAGCAGAGTCCATCCTCTCATTCCTTCCCTCTCCTCCTGGTCCTCCTGACGCCAGCACAGGGCCTGGTGAGGAGGCAGCTGACACCTTCCCTAATCCTGGCTCAGCAGGGCATGGCCAGAAAAGCCATCCTAGCTCCAGGCCATCCCTCTATAACACCCGTTCCACCCCTGGGGTTGGGAGCGGGAGGTTTTGGCTGCTTCCTGCCAAATAGGCAGGACTCCTGGAGGACAACTCCAGGGGGGCCCTCTAGGCTCCCGCGCCAGGAGCAGGCAGCCTGGAGAATGCACGACAAACTCAGATTACTCACCTCCCGGGACCAAAACAGGGGCCTGGCTAGAAACTCGGTCCCACCAGAATCTTGGCTCTGCCATGCTCCCAACCAAAGCAAGCAAGCAGCCCCTCTTCAGGGCACAGTGCCAGGCAGCACCCCTCCCTGCCCTGGCCCTAGGCCCACAGCTTGAGGGGGCTCCTAAAAGCAACAGCTCTGAAAGATACTTGGAGCTGCTGCAATTCTGCTCCAAGCAGCATAGAGACAGGAATTCAAAACTGCCTCCCAAATCTACTCTATTTATATAAGCAAAACTATGAAATGAATGACTGCAGTTTTCCTAGAGGAACATCTCCCAGATGGCTCTACTGAAATATTCCTTCTGCTGGAGAAGGTGGCGACTTCCACAGAGTCGCCATGGCCTGGTGGTCAATTATTGGGAGGCGAGGGGAGCCAGGCCCTGTGAGACCCTTTCGGTGTCAGCCTTCCTTCCTGCCGGGCTGCCTGCCCCAATCCTTGCAACGCGCCAAAACTCACACGCGCATTCCTACCAGCCAATCACACCCAGGCCCATTTCAAAAGCTAACAGGTCGCGGATGCTGTCTTGGAAAGTTTGCTTTCCAATAGGATGTTCAATAGCAAGAAGTCTCTTGGGCTTAGACAGAAAAGGAGATCAACAGATTCACGTCATCATCTGTAGACTGCAGACCCCTGCTAGTGCCCACCTGTGGCCCCCCAGGCTGCCTGTTCACTGTCCCGTCACTCCCTTGGGGTGGGGATTAGCACCAGCCACCTGCTGGAAACCAGCTTCCTGCTCAGGCAGGAGGCCAAGGACTGTGTCCCCAGTACTAGCACCTGGCTACCTCCCCCAGGCAAGAGCCACGGATCTCTTTGGCATCATGCTCCACCTGGCACCTGCAGGGGGGAAGCTGCCATCCTCAACCCCCAGAACCCTTGTTTCTAAGGGGGAAATGGGCCTGATCTTTGGAGAGAAAATATGTCTGGCAATTTTCCCTAGGCCCTCTTGGTTGCCCTACTCCACCACTTCTAACCTCTGCCTTATCTACAGCCTGCTGAAGCACAGCGCCCCTCGGAAAGTGACCCAATACCTGTCCCCGGAGGCCCCAGGGTTGCGGTGGATTAAGCATGTCTCAGCTTAGCCAAGTTGGCACAATCCCAAAGCCCCCACACTCTCCCACAAGTTCTACTGTGAGACCAAGACCACAGGCTGGGCTGGAAGAAAAGCTGGTGATTGTTAACTCTTGTCCTTTCAAGGGGAGCCCACAACCTCTGGGGCATCTGGTCCATTCTAGGGCCCAGTCAAGTGGCTAGACCTGGAGGAACAAGTGCTCTCAAGCTGTCAGCCATAAGGGCTCCTCTGTGCTCAGCACTCCCTCCTGGAGCAAGCCGGCCCACAGGAATCCCCCGGGCTTGCCATGCCCTTGGCTACCAAGTCTCTTTCCAAGTCCCCACACCAATCCCTTGGGTGGAGCACCAGGCCCAGCTCCGGTGGAGCTCGGGCCGCTGGGAAAGGCTAACTCTGTCACTAAGCAGTGGCTTGGGAGAGCCTGAAGTGTTAGATGACTCCGTCCTGATCCTGGGAGCCGGGAAGACCTTAGCGACAGCCAGTGGGGGAGGGAGCACCTTGGACTGCCTGAGGCAGCCCCTCCTCCCCCAGCCCTCCTAGAGTGGCACTGGTGGACTCCAGGCCCAAAGGACGGAGACCCCACTGGAGCAAGGAGGGGCTGGGCCAGCACCACAGTTAGCACAAGGACTCTATAAAGAGGGGGCAGAGGCTCCCTTCCTCGCTGCTCCCACCCACAGGGGCCCAGTCACCACCTGTCAAGAGGTAACAGTAAGCAACTGGGCATGATCTTAAACAACAATTTGTCAAGGAGACAGTAGATTGGGGTCCAGGACCAAGCACCCCAAAAAAGAGTGAGACCGGCCACCAGCTGTGTGAATTTACTCCTGAGTAATGAGCAGGGGGTCAAAGCCTTGGTTTGATTTTGTCACTAATTACTAATTTGGTTTAGTCAATAGGTAAGGTTCACTGTCCCATTTTTTTTCCCCAATGAAAGCCCCCTGGCCAAGACAGACCTGGATATCAATTTGATTTTAGTTGGGGGAGAATAGGTAGGGGGAGTTGAGGGCTGACTTTACTGGTGCCTAGAGTTGCAGGTCAGTATCACAGGTTGCTAACAGAAGAATCTTTTGACATCACCAGGGGCAAAAGAGATAGAACACTACCTGCTAGAGGAGAGCACCTGCTGAAAGAAAACCTCCTCCTTTTCCCGCCTTCAGCACCTAGCAACTTCTGGGATTGACAGTCTACCTGCAATCAGGGCAACAGAGGTAAATAGCTGCACGGGCTGACTCCACAAAGTCCTGAACCCTGGGAGAAGAGTGCTGGGAGCTCCCTGGCGTGTGTGAGAGTGCATTCGTTATGCATCAGTACAGAAATATGCTCCTGTGTATGCGTGCGAGATTGACTGGTGTGGGGTTTATGTCTGCAGTGGGGACTGAGGCTCAGCAAACTGAGCCTGCTTTCCCCACTCCCCACCCCATAATATTTCTTATACATGACCCTATCTATGTATTTATAGAGTGCCTATCACTGTAGGCCCCATCTTTCTAGGGACGTGGACTTGGGGCCATGTGCTTGCCGACACACCTCCCAGCTCTGCCAGTCCCAGGAGGTGCCATCCCCCCTCCCATTATAAAATATATATCTCTATATGCCACATATCTACACCCCATCTACCCAGGCAAGCACCTGCCCGTCGGGCCCTCACCCTGGAGCCAACAACGCCGTCCCTTCCTACTGCTGACGCCAGGCCACCTGCCTTGTAGGAGGCAGAACCAAGTGCCAAGCACGGGGGGTGGGAGCTCCAGGTGCTGCTGACTCGAGGTAAGAGCACAGCTATCATCAGACCGAGTACTAGAAAAGAAACACACACCACTCCAACCACACACACAAGGAGAGAGACGGCCGGTCCTCCCTCCAGCCCTGACACACCCGACTCAAGAGGAGGGGAAGTAGAAGAGAAGAGTGACGAGCCCGGAAGGCAGACCTCGGGGACTCCCTGGCCGCCCAGCTGTCACCATGCCCAGTGGCCCACCTGGCCCGAGGGGTGGGAGCCAGGGCACCAGAGCCACCGCTAACTCAGAAGCACCCTGCTCCCGCACCTTGGTTTGAAACCTAAAGGGAAGGGTGTTGGGTTTTTGTTTTCTTAAAGAAAATCTCAAAACAAACATAATTATAACCAGAACCATAAGAATAATTATAATAAAAGGTGTCATCAGCCTCCCAGTATAAAACTGCAGCCTTTGGAGATGACCAAAAACATCACATTCCAGGGGCCAGGAGCCGCCTTGTGCACAGAGGGGTGGATGGTGGGGGCCTCATAAAAGAACACACAAAAGGCGACTTAGACAGGAAAGCACCAGTACGTTTTGTATGTTTTTTTATTTGCTCCAGGTGGGGTTTTGACTGTCACTTTCCCACACTCTGGATTAGTTCTGATCCCACCACAAGGAGCCCTCGAATCGGCTAAAGTGAGAAATTGGGCCTGAAGACTCCATACCCTGCCAGGTTGCCGAGGGAGTCTCCTTTTAGAAAAAAATCAAAAGGTTATTGCATGAGTCTGGATGAATCCCACTCTCAGCTGTCCACGGTCCCGACCACCTCATCTAACCCCCTTTTTGGCAGGGAGAAATGGGAGAACACGGCTCCCAGGTTCTCCTCCTTCACTCTGTGGCAAACCAAGGGGAAAAGCCCACCGTGAGAATGCGCCATCTGCAAGCTGTCTCCCTTCCTCCATCCTTGGTGAAACCCTTTGCGCAGAAGGCCACGTGGAAGCTGATGTTTTTACTCATCTCGCTGTTTGAAAGCACCATTGTGAAGTCGGGTTGTACAGTAGTTAACAGTACCTTTTATATATATATCTCATAATCTATCATATATATATAAACTGTAAACAAGAGGTAACAGCGGCTTCTAGAAACTGATTTTCTTCAAGGTTTCCTGTGTGGTAGGCACCTGAAATACTGTAGAAAAGTGTCGTGTGGTGTTCTCGTCTCCCTGCTGCTAACTGGGTTCTGTTTTGCGTGACCAGGAATGGTGCGGGCACGACAGCTCAGTGGCTGGGAGGGAATGCGGCCGCCTGAGTGTCTCTCTCTGTCCGTCCCCTGCTTGTGCTCCTATCTGATCAGGCTAGAGACAAAAAAAGATATATAGTAAAAAACAAAACAAAACAAAAAAAAACCCAATATATAGATTTCTATAGAATTTCCTTTTTTCCTCTCTCCCACCTTTCCTCTGCAAGGTATTGTTACTATTTTTTGTTACTGGTTTTTGCTGAAATAACCTTGTTTCAGTCACAGCAAGAAACAAAACCCAAACAAACAGAAAACCCCTCTGAAAAGAGTAGAAAACAAAAGGTCTGACCGAAAAAAAAAAAAAAAAAAGGAGCGGGAGGGGGAGGAAGGGGAGGGAGCTTGGTTTTGTTTTTAAATAGGACTGAAGAATAACATTGAAAAATCAGGAGATGATGTCCAACCCTTTTCGCAAGGCAAAGCCCTCCGGTATTTCCGCCTCTGTGGTTTTTGTTTTAAATTCCTTTTTCTCTTCTGGGTGCTGATACTTCTCTCCATCCTCACGTTCTTGGTGTTTTATTATGTTTTGTGTTTTTTTGTTTGTTTAACTTTGTGTCGCTACCTCAGTTTGCCCCCATGTCCCTTACACACACGCAAAATACTCCTTCAGCGGAGCGAAGAGGTGGCGGATGACTGGCACGCTCCACGACCGGCCCAGCAGTCTCTGCCTCGCCAAGCGGCTCATGTTAGAGACGTCAGTATAGTGGACAGGGAAACCAAATACCCTGAGGGAGAGAACGCAAAGAAGGCAGGGTGAGTGCTGGCGGCCCAAGGCTGCTCGGAAGCCATCTAATCACACAGCAGGACCCAGAGGACCAGTAGCTGCCCAGAGCACGGATGGGGCACTCACACCCACCAATTCCCGATGCATGCTTAGTTCTGTCAAATCTCCTGTCCTTTATAAACCTGGCACTTGGATCACCAACCGCATACCAGGCACTGTGCTGGTTTCTGTGGCCTTAGAGGTAGTAAGGTCATCACTGCCTAGAGTTTCACAACCCAGCAGAAACATAATTTTGAACAATCCTGCAGAAATACCTCCAGGACACACTCTACAGTTCCCCTCTCCCCCAGGGCTAGCTCCACGGCACACACCTTGAGTCTGCATGTAATGAACACACAGCCCTAGCATCCTGCCCACTGAGAGGAGGGAAGGCGAAAAAGGAGCTGAACTCCGGCCCAACTTCAGAAGCTGAAGGATTTCCTGTTTGCTTTGGTTGTTTGTGTAAATGGTCTCTTTGTCTGGCTAAATCCTAGTTATACTCAGAGAACAAGAAGGTCATCCAGCCCCAAGAGTCCTGTTTGCACCAAATCAGGGTGGGGAGGCTGTAAGGTCTGCCCGCCCTATGCTGGCTTAGTTTACAAAAGACCTACAAAATTGGCATCACAAGTTCAGGAAGGTCCTGCGGCTGCAGCATTTCCCTGGGGATCAGCAGGGTCTCTGGGAGACCAGGCACCATGGGATTCCTAGACTCCTCTTTTTTTTTCCTTTGAGATGGAGTCTCTCTCTGTTGCCCAGGCTGCAGTACAGTCGTGTGATCTCAGGTCACTGCAACCTCCACCTCCCAGGTTCAAGTGATTCTCCTGCCTCAGCTTCCTGAGTAGCTGGAACTACAGGCACACAACACTACCATACAAAAATAATTTTTGTATTTTCAGTAGAGATGGGGTTTCACCATGTTGGCCAAGCAGGTCTCAAACTCCTGACCTCAGGTGATCTGCCTGCCTCCCAAAGTGCTGGGATTACAGGCATGAGCCATTGCACCCGGCCCCTAGATGCCTTTTACTTTGGACCAGCATTACAATACACAGGAGCCTGGCTGGCCAGGAGTCCACCCCAGGAGTCTGCCATGTTGGGAAATGCTTGATAAAACCCACTGTTCCCAGGGCATTTGTGGAAAAATAGCCAGGTGGGAAAGGCAGAGGACCGCCCCAGCAAGCACGGCAACCAGAACACCCCATGCCACAGCCAGACCCACACAACTCGGGTACCTTTCCATTTCAGTGCACCATAGGATGTCCTCTTTCTCATTCATGAAGACGGGGAAATGCTGGTCTTTGCCTTGCTTTATGGAGTTTGACCTTGTAGTAATGGTCCTCACTTTGCTGAACTAGAAGATGAAGAGAAAAGAGGGATGAGCATGAATTCATTCACCAGCCAATGCTGATCATGCATCTACCAAGTATGCCAGGTACTTGCCAACCCTGACAGGGTCTGGTCCTCACAGGGGGCTGGGTATGGCTCTGAGAGAGCAGAGTTCACCAGGCAAGGAGCCTCCATGCACCCCACAGCCCCACTTTTTTTCCTACTTGGAGGTCATCTGGCCAACTGTAGTCAGATCCATCTAGCCACAGATTTATTTATTTATTTTTTTTTTTTTGAGACGAAGTCTCACTCTGTCACCTAGGCTGGAGTGCAGTGGTGCGATCTCGGCTCACTGCAACTTCCGCCTCCTGGGTTCAAGCGATTCTCGTGCCTCAGACTCCCGAGTATCTGGGACTACAAGTGCATGCCACCACGCCCGGCTAATTTTTGTATTTTTAGTGGAGATAGGGTTTCACCATGTTGGCCAGGCTGGTCTTGAACTTCTGACCTCAGGTGATCTGCCTGCCTCAGCCTCCCAAAGTGCCGTGATTACGGACGTGAGCCATTGCACCCAGCCTAGCCACAGACTTTAGAAGTAGAAGCCATAGCCACTATACCTTCCGAGTCTTCTAAAGAATTAGCTCTTTCAGAGGTGGAGTAACTTGTAGGTTAAAGGATGCCAAGTTACTGAGGGGCTCAAAGATGCCCTCTGAGCTGCCAATCATTCTGAATGCTGGAACCTGCTGACACAGAACCCAAGCCTCGGGTACTCACTCCAGGAGATTCCAGCTCCAGAGAGAAATGGAGCTTCCATATCATGGGAGGCTGCTCTGATTAAGGCTTTTACAATAGGTTTTGGCCAAAAAATTAAAAAATGAAAAACAAGCCACAGCAAGTCCAGGTCTTGGTAAAGACTCCTCAGTGTCTACCGGGGGCGGTGGGCGACACTCACCAGGGAGGAAGAGCTGAAGGCCAGCAGCCCCAGGCCCTCATCTGGTTGCCCCGCTGCATGACCCTGCACTGGCTCCTAAATTGCATTCTCCACACTAGCTGGAGGTGCAGGCGGGACATGGCCCTGGCTCCACTTCATCCTGCCCTTCCTTCTCCCTGCCCCCCAGCAGAGGTCCTGGATGCTGGAGCTGACCTTGGCTATCCTTCCATGCTCCAGACACTCCTGCAGCTCCAGCTTATCATTCACAGTGGATGCCAACGGCCTAGGAGGCAGAAGAGAGACGGTAACAGAAACCTGGAGGACAGCGGGAAGGCCCCCAGCCACATGACTCCCTCCCTCCCCCAGCAGCCACTAATTCACAGGGTAAGAGCCTCCTTCCCCAGATCATGTACACACGTTGTAACCCTCTTCAGACTCCCCACACACAGTGCAAACACACAGTGCAGCCATCCACAAACACAAATCCATCAAGCATTCATCCGTAGAGGTAAATTCAAAAGTGGTCTCAAACTGTGAATAGGCAGATAACAGCTAGCAGAAGAGGGAAAAAAGCACTGCTATCTTTACATCAGTTAGTCTAAAATACACTGAGCTTCAAGCGTTCTACTGCAAGGTAAACTTTGGGGGTGACGATGTTCTGAATCTTGATTTGTGGTGATTGTTACATGGGTGTGTCCACTGGATGAGATTCATTAAGCCACAAGTCTTAAACATACAGTTTTAAAAGACTTAAATTCTGGGCCGGGCACAGTGGCTCAAGCCTGTAATCCCAGCCCTTTGGGAGGCCGAGGCAGGTGATCACCTAAGGTCAGGAGTTCAAGACCATCCTCGCCAACATGGTGAAACCCCATCTTTACTAACAATACAAAAATTAGCCAGGTGTGGTGGCAGATGCCTGTAATCCCAGCTACTCAGGAGGCTGAGGCAGGAGAATCACTTGAACCTGGGAGGGAGGCAGAGGCTGCAGTGAGCCAAGATCATGCCTTTGTACTCCAGCCTGGGTGACAGAGCTCAAAAAAAAACTTAAATTCTGCAGTTCCCTGAAGACTAAAATTCTGACATTAAACACATCACTTCTCAGGGTGTAGGCCAGAAAACGGCTGTCCCCTTCAACACTGACCTCTTCTGACAGGTAAGGATATTTAAGGAAGGTTTCCCTGAGCACTAGCTCCAAGAACTCAGTGAGGGAACTATGGGGCCAGCAGTCAAGTCAGGCTCTCAACAGACGACCCCAACTGTTTACGCGTGCACCGTCCAGTCGGCCCTGAGTGCAGGACCTCTGCTCCTCCTAGAAGCTCAGAGTTCAGTATTTTAGAAATGAAAGAAGCAGGCGAGAAATCCCCCAGTGTCTGTCAGGAGACACTGAGTGGCACCATGAAAATACTGGGCCACATTAGCCCATCTATTTCCAATATACACATGTATATCAGAAACTCTCAGGGGACAGTTTCAGGCCAGCTGCCCCAATGCCCCATCTCCTTCCCCTCAACAAATCCTCCACAGCAACTTTACCAAACATGTATGAGATGGGAAAGGTCCTACAACCTCATGGGAATAGCAAGGAGGGAGACTGTCTGACTGAGGCCAGGTGAAATGATGTCTCCTAGTTATACCAAGTAGCAGACCAAGGAGGTTTATCACCCATGACTCAGAACACTCTGGAAAACACTTCCCTCCACAATGGACAGGGACTGAGTGGCTCTCAGTGTGCTTTTGAATTGCCAACTCTGGACAATTTCTTTTGCCTCAAAAGCCTTTTTATAATGCCAGTTTTACACCTGAGAAATGAATTTTCTTCGTTCCTGGATATTAAAATCTTTATCTGTGTAATCTAACTGAAGCAAATCTCTCAAAGAAGGGACCTGAAGCCAACCAAGCGTGTGATTAGGAAAATTAAGCAGAACCCTGAATTCACATGCAGCCGTTGCAAGATTCCCTCTCTTGGAACAGGCTATGGCCATGACTCCCCTTTCCCAGTCCTAAAGCCATGTTCCATGGCTTTGCCTCAGGAGAATCTAAGCACCAGAGGGCTCGGGACACATCACCAATGTGGGAAAACGAACTACCTAACTCGGCAACACACGTCTCTTTTGTATAAAGAGAGTGCTTTTAAAAGTCCTGCTTTAAGACCACTAGTTGTTGGTTTCAGACAAGTATTTTCCATACCCTGACTCCTCTTCTTCCTCAAGGAAAGGGAAATAAACAACCCGGCAGAGCAGCTAGCATCCCGCAGAGGCTGGCTGGAGAGGGCCCGGCTCAGAGACCCCCCAATCATGGGCCATCCCATCTGCTGTCCCAGCCCACAGCCCCCCAGGCCCGGAAGCTCTCACCAACCTGTTCATACCGGGAAGGTTACCCCAGAAGTAGCGGGCCCTGTGTGCAGCTGACACTTCTTTGGCATCAATCATCACAGGGTTGGACTACAAAACAGGAGACGGTTTGAAGATGAGCCAAGGAGGAAGACGAAACTGCGCCGGCATGCTGTGGTGCTGAGCCTGAAAGCCTCAAAGACTCTCACTTCTCTCTCAGGAGCCACTCACTGGGCTAGCCTGCAGTCTCCAGGAGAAGCTGGAATTACACCTAGCCACATTCTACATGCTGTTACTGAACATTCTAGATCAGGTTGTGCAAATGAACTTCTTTGATGGTGGGGATGTCCTCCATTTACACTGTTCAATTCAGTGGCCACTAGCCCACTAGTACAGGTGGCTGTTTTGTACCTAAAATGAGGCCAGTGTGACTGAGGAGCTGAATGGTTAATATTAATATAAATAGCCGCATGTGGCTGGTGGCTACCATATTGGACGGTGTGGCTCCAGACTACCCAGAGGCTGGGAGAACCCAGGCTCCAGTGACTATGGGTGGGTTTACCATGAGCCCCGATTATAACTCAGACACAGGCCTGCTTTCACTTACAGTCAGAACACCAGCTCGTGGTGTGACCCATCCCCAAGACTCGGGAGCACAAGTTGGCTCACGCTCCCAGATGGGCCACCCTGAGCATGCCTCTGGCAGCAGAAGCTCTCTTTGCATGGCTCAGACTTCGCTCAGGGTTAAACTGGGACTCACATGAGGAGGAATGAAAACTCAGCTAAGTCCTGTTTGCTTCTCAGGTGCCATGTCATGGTACCAGGGAGTGAGGACAGGCCCTGCTTGCTCAGGGAAAACTGATTTTTGTCCTCTCAAAGGTCCTAGTGTGAACGGACACCACACAGAATGCCCAGCCCCAGGAGTCAGGCACCCCACCCAATTTGGTGACAGGTACTTCAACCCCGGAGGTCTACACCCACCTCTTAGAGTGAGACCACCGGTTCTTTCTGAGGTGGGCCTCTAACTCTGCTTCCTCCCTTTCAATCTGGAAAGCCTGGGGCTTCCCAAACAGTCCCCTTGCAAAGCAGAAGTCACCAGTCCCCAGCTCCACAATGCAGATAAGACAGGGATGGAGCAGCAGGCCAAGGTAGAAGCCATTAATGAGCTGGCCAAACCAAGGTTGCTGGCTGTACCTCGAGAAATCGCGAGATGTCCCTCTTGTCACTAACGCCCATGGCCACCACATTCTCAAAGAGCCAGAAGAAGGGGCGGTCATCTCCCTCCTTGGGCCGCGCATCATGCAGGAGGCGGTAGAACTCAAAGAAGAGCCGGCCAGTGCCCTCTGAGAGGTCGGAAGAGAAAGCCATCAGCTGGGGCTGCCTGCACAGACAGTGGTGTGGCTTGGGCACGGGGAGGGCATGGGAAGACAGGGTCATTGGGAATAGCTGTCCCAGGGCAGAAATATCCAAGGAGGAAACCTATGTGCCAGGAGGAAGCACCAGCTGAGAAGGTGGAGGGGAAGGATGGTACCTACCGTAGAGGCCCTTGCGAGCAGGGTTGACAATGGAGAGGTCATTGCAGGGACTGCCCCCAATCACAAGATCGAATGGGCCCCACTCCTGGATCTGGGAGGATAAAGGCAACGTGATGGGCCTGCTGTCCAGGGACAGAGGCAGACAGGAAGAAAGAGAAATGATCTGTGAACTTGGCAAAGAAGTCCTCTGACCCGAAAGAGAGGAGACCCTGCTGCTCTGCAGGCTCACGACCCTAACTGCAGCCACAGGCGAGTCCTAAACAAGAAGGGGACCAGATGGATCATCTCTCAGGCCAGTGGGGAAACAGCATGCCCCAGGCAGGCAGCACAGCCGCCCAATGGGAAGACAACCCAAGTGGACGGCTGAGTCTGAAGGTACCCGGCGCACTGAGTGTCTTAGGCAGGGTGTCTGGGCCATGGAATGCCCTCCAAATGTCCTTCAGGACTCCAGAAGGCCTGTAGTAATGCTCAAGGGAAGACCCTGCCAGAGCCTCCCAGTATGAAGGCTGGTAAAGCTATTTGCCAAAAGCACTGGGAAGACAGGAACCTCTCTCTAATCCAAAGAGCTCTACTATAAAGGGCCCAGAAACCAGCCCAGGGAGGAGCCAGAGCCCAAGTAGGCAAGGCCTCAAATAGCTTTTTTCTTTTTTTAAAGAGACAGAGTCTTGCTCTGCTGCCCAGGCTACAGTGCGGTGGTGTGATGCTAGCTCACAGCAGTCTTGACCTCTTGTGCTCAAGTAATCCTTCCGGCTCAGCCTCCCAAGTAGCTGGAACTACAGGGTCATCCCACCACGCCTGGCTCTTTTTTTAATTTGTTGTAGAGAGAGGGTCTCACTAGGTTGCCCAGGATGGTCTTAAACCCCTGGCCTCAAGGGATTCTCCCACCTTGGCCTCCTGAAGTGCTGGCATTATAGGCATGAGCCACCATGCCTAGCCCAAACCTCCATTTTAATTTGCCCTTTACCCTCTCAATACAAAGGACAAATGGAAGATAAGGAGAAAAAGAGGCTGGGGCAAAGGGTAAGAGGAAGAGAGAAAACGAACAAAATGAAAGGAGGCAACGGCTGCCTTTAGGGGCCGAGTGTGCGGGGAGGGGAGGACGGGCTGCGCCCCACAGCACGGACATACATGCTTCTGTGTGACGCTGCGGACGTCCCCGACGTACATGATCTTCCCCTGGTGCCGCACCATGCCCACCGTGATGGAGTCCTCACACACCTCCGAGGCAATGTAGCGGTCCACCTGAATGCCCAAGTCCTTCAGCACCAGGAGCCCTGTGCCAGCCGGCAGACAGCACTGTTACTCGGAGCCGTCTCCCTGGCACCCTGGTCCTGGCAGGTGAGCCTGCTGGCCAACAGGACCTGTGGGGTCAGCTGCAGGCCCAAGTCCTATCTTTTCCCTGAAGATGCCTTAAATCCTTTCTGGATCCAATTGGGGTATCCATAGTAAGGACATCGAGGCTCCATCTCATGCCTCGCTTGGCCTATCTGGAAGGCAGTCAAAGCTGCGGAAAACTGACCCGAGAGTACATATGGTTCCAGGATCCAGGAAGAATCACCTGACTTTTTGGGGGCCTTTTACTGTCCTCCATCTATAGCTTGGTCCTTCCACACCCTCTTATCACCTCCTGCTACAATTCTACCCCAAACTTCGAGACTCAACTGAATGCTCCCTGCTCCACAAAGATTTCATCAATGCCCTACTCACCCTGGACTCACCGCCCCGTCTGCTGTGAGTCCCCAGCTCTGTGCATCCCTGCCTCCCCATCAGAGTTTCCATTCCTCACTCAGTCCTCTCATGAGTTGCAAAGACTCTTCCAGAGGGAGGAGGCCTCCTCCATTGTGTTTTCCCCCCAGCTAACCACACTGATTTCCTTACCATGATCCCTCCCCCTCCAGAAATGCTGGCTGAACTGAGGCAAGGAAACAATCGGAGCAGACACCAAGAGGACCTCAGGAGAAACAGGGTATAGCACTGTTTCTGCTGCTCCCAACATCCCCCCACCAAGGAGCTTTTAAAGCCTTCTGGAGTGTGACACGATTTAAGAAGGTCTCAAGGTTCCAGCCTGGGAAACAAAAAGCTGTAAATGAACTTCTCTAGGTTTAGAGAAGAGCAGCATGGAGCTGAGAACAGAAGACAAACATCTGGCCCAGGATGCCGCCCCCACCCTCACCCTCTAGCCAGGGTCCCTGGGTTGAGACCACCTATCTTCCCTCTGGCCAAACAAAGACACAAATTCTAAGAAGAGCTGGGGAAACCCTTGGCTGAGGGGGAGGGCAGAGGGCTGGATGTGTCTTCACAACCACCTAGGATGCTTTTTGCAGTGTCCAGAGACACATAAAGCAGACAATGCCTGTAGGGTGAGCCAGCATCTCCTAAAGGTTTTCCTAAGGAGGGAATGGTTGAAGTATATAAAGATATTATATCAGGATGCTTGTCACAGCACTGCTTATAATAATGAAAAAATAGTAAATGACCTAATAGGAGTTAACTAATAAATCGTGACACTTTGACTCAAGGGAACCCTAGGCAGCACTTACAAATAAAGAATGTAGCTTTAGCTGGGCACGGTGGCTCACGTCTGTAATCCCAGCACTTTGGGAGGCTGAGGCAGGTGGATCACCTGAGGTCAGGGTTTGAGACCAGCCTGGCTAACATGGTGAAATCCTGTCTCTACTAAAAAATACAAAACTTAGCCGGGGGCGGTGGTGCGTGTCTGTAATCCCAGTGCCTTGGGAGGCTGAGGCAGGAGAACTGCTTGAACCCAGGAGGCAGAGGTTGCAGTGAGTGGAGATTGCACCACTGCACTCCAACCTGGGTGACAGAGAGAGACTCTGTCTCAAAAAGAAAAAAAAATAAAGAATGTAGCTTTACATTGTTTGCCATGAAAAAGCAGTCATAATAAATGCAAGGCAAGTTACAAAACCATGTGCATTCACTATCCACTTAATTTATCTATCTATGGATGTATGGTTACATAAACACAGGCACAGAAAAAAATCCAAAAAGGACCTATGCCAAAATATTAATAAAAGGATAATGGGTGATTTAAATAGCCTTCCTTAGATCTTGTGTATAATCAAAACACAACAGAACCGTATTTGTTTCTTTCTTGCTGAATCTGTCCTTCGAGGCTCTATGAAATCCCTGTGAATCCAACTAACGATCACTCCATCCTCTGCTGCTGAGTCTTCACCACTAAGGGCAGTGCCCAGCACACAGGCTACTTTCCCACCTGGTTCACCTTTTTATTTTTGGTCAAATCTAATTCCATGGACTGCATACGTTTTCACTTCACACACGTTTCCTCTTTGGGGTGATATTTTAAGAGCTATGAAGCTAACCATCATTTCATTTTGCCCACACACATGGCTCCCCGCATCCCAGCACAAGGCAGCCAGTAGCTCTTAGGCCTGCGCCCTCACCTGTAGCAATTCCATCAAAGAGAGACAGCACCCGGATGGGCTTCCTCTTCTCAGCTGGGACAGGTGGGTAAACCTTTGGAGGGTCCTAAGCAGTGAGCACAACAGGTCAGGTGCACGCCCAGCTGTGTCCCACACTCCCACCCAGCGCTGACCCTCCAGCCAGGCTCCTAGACCCGCACACCCCGTGTGAAGCTCAGGCCCCACAACCAAGGCTCAGCCTAGGGAGCTCGAGACCGCCCAGCACTCACAAATTCCTGGTCGTGGTTATTAGCAAAGAACATCTGGAGCCGGGAGGGCCAGTCGTCTCGCCGCCGCAGCAGCCCGTAGGTGCCCTTGTGCCCACACATGTAGCAGTTCCAGGGGTCTTCCTTAATGGCTGCCTGGGCAGCCCCCGGCCCCACCAAGAGGTCCACACATTCCACACAAAAGCACCTGGAAGGAAACCCAGTAGCAAAGGGGACTCTCAGCCCTGGTCCAGGGAAGCCAAGGTCTGCTACCTGGAATGGAAAGACTGGGTCTGAAGCATGGCTGGGGGGTGGGGGATAGGGGCTGAGGGTCTGTGGGGAGGGGAGGGGACGGGGGGGGGAAGCAGAGCCAGTGGAAGGAGGCCAGCATGGCTGGGGTTGGGGGTCTATGGGGAGCCGGGTAGAAGGAGGGGAGAAAAGAGAGGGAGAAGCGGGAGAGGGGAGGGGGAGGGGGAGGGGAGGGAGGCCAGCCTCACCTGCAGCAGTTGTTGTTCCCACACATGAGCACCTCTCGGCCCCCGCAGCAGATGGTGCAGTAGGACTGATAGCCATCGTCGTCGTACTGGTATGCACACTCCAGAAAGCAGTTCTAGACAGCAGTGGGGAGGGTCAGAAACCACCAGGTCAGGTCCCAGGACAGCCAGGACCAAGGCAGGCTCTGAACCCGGCCTTGCAGAACCTGACTCAGCCCTAGAGACAAGACCCACCACCTCCCTAGCCAGGGTCAACCCCAGCTGCAGATCTGGGAAGGGGAAACCAGGTCTGCCCGTGTGCTGCCATGGACAGAACCAAACAGCCTGAGAGCAAGGCCAGGCAGGGGGCTGCGGCACCACCTTGGGCCTTCCTATAGCTCTGGGCTTTTCTCCTGGGCTCCTGAGGGCATGGCCCTCCTGGGGGCCTGAGCAGGTCCCCGCCGCTCTGTCCCATCCCCACATTTGGGGACTAAAATGGGGCTTAAGAGATGACAAGAATCTTTCAGAGGAGAAAAATGAGAGCAAGTGAAAAGCCTGAAGCCCAAGGGCCCATGTCACCAGGACCCTGCTTCCAGAGGAAGCTCTGAAGTCTACATCCACGAATACCAGGTGTCACCCCCATACATGCCCAGAAGTGGTGGGCACAGTCAGCCAGGAGGCGAAGGACCGGCCTCAACAGCACCTCTCCTGGACAGGGCTGCCCCTACCTTGCAGTTTTGGCACATTCCTCCAATGAAGAGGGGGTGTTCCAGGGTGACGTTGAGGCTCCCACAGGAGATGCAGATGTCTGGAAAGCAGAGTGAGGGGATGGGGTGAGTCCACCCAAGGGCCTCTCCCTCCCCGGCTGGAGCCCAGCACCAGACCAGCCACAAAAAGAGTGTGCCAGAGCAGCAGCCAGAAAAAGAGTCCAGTGTGTTTCATGGAAAAGAGAGGCACTGTGGCCCCAGTCTCAGAAGGCCCCCACCTTAGAGCACCAATGCCACCATCCTCGAACAGAGATGGAGTGACAGGAGGACAGAAACCTGCTCAGGAGACGCAGCCCTGGCTCCAGGCTACTCCGGAGGGATTCCGGGGCCATCCTCAAGTCCTGCCCCTGCCCCAATCCTCCCAGGCCCTGAGGGTCCTGAGCCAGCTCCACCAGCACCCAGCTGAGGGAGACAGACCAGGGATGACAATGGTGAGCACAGGTGAAAGGCTGAAAGGTGACCAGCAGGCGAGTTACATCACATCCAAGAGGGGTGCCCTCCTCTGGTCACTGGGGAGTCCTAAACCCTGAAGACCAGCCCAGGCCATTGATAGGAGAGCAGGATTGGCACCAGGAAAATGGTGCGAGAAGCGGGGTGCAGGTGGTGTGACACGCAGGACACTGCCCCTGGTCCCTGTCATTCAAACCTTCCTAAGTGCCTACACTACTCTGCCCCTCGCCATACTAGGAACACTGGAGTTTCCAGGCGACAAACTCACCCTCGATGTTCCGGCACTTCTGCCGCACCTCGTACACCAGCCGCTCTGCAAGGGGAGGAGAGCTGGTGTCAGAGGCCGCCGTGCCCAGTCCTCGGATGCAGGCCTCCCGGTGCCTCCCTCTCCAGAAGCAGGCCAACTACCTCTTGTGCGCTCATCGATGATCTCCTTGACCTTGGGCTTCTCTGTTGTGCTCTTCCGGGGCTTTTTGGCTGGTGGAGGTGGTGCGTAGGCAGCTGCCTCAGGTTCTACCCACATGTCCGTGTACACTTCTTTGTAGGGATTCTTTTCCTCTGGAGCAGGAAAGCAGGGGCCAAGGTCAGTTACAGGTTGACCGGAAACCCCAGCCCCTCCCCCATCCTCCTTACAGTGAGATGCAGCCTGATCTCCAACTTGTCCCACCTCCCAACTCTCTGGTTCCAGCCAGCCAAGGGCGAACAGGTCACTCAAGTCCTGACCCCGGGTCAATGGAGACCCTGGCCATTCCCACTGGGCCCCTCTGCAGAGGCCTTGGCCACCCTCCCTAAGCATGGCTTTTCCAGCCCTGTTGTGGATCTGCCTGGTGGGCAGGGCTGCCAGATGGCTAGGCACCCACATTTACCTTCTGGTGGCTCCAGGCCCTTGGGACCAGAGGGCTGGAAGCCCCCCAGGGCCCATTCAATCATCTGCTTGTTCTGCACCTCCACAGCCTTGGCAGTGTCACTCTCGTCGCTGTCGTGGCACACTGGGAACAGCTTCCCCGCACGGCTGCTGGCCACCTGGAGAGCAACATGCCAGGGATGGGGGTGTCAGGACAGGCTGGAGGGCAGATGGCTTAAGGCCAGACTCTGAGTAGTGAGGGTGGCATGGGCAAGGAGGGGGACCTGCTAAGGAGGAAGAAGAAGGGCACACAAGTGGCAACTGAGGTGGGGAGAAGGAGTCACTGCCTCCTGGCCCAACCTGCACTCTGACTTCCAGGCCTCCTAGTGCTCTAGGCGCCTCCTCCGAGCTCCCAGCAGGGACACTCACCTGCAGGACCTCATAGATGGCTTTGCGGTACATGGGCTGCTTGTTGTATGTGGCCTGGTGGAACGCACTGCAAAACGAGCTCAGCGGCATCAGCTTCTCAACACACACCTGCGGGGACAAGCCAGGCCTTGTTTGCTACTGCCTCCACTTGCAAGCACCCACCCGAGCCTTGCAACTGGCAGCGGCTGGGAGCGCTGAGAGTCTGTCTCAGCCCTGGACGGGACCAGATGCAGTGACAAACAATAACCTGATGCAAAGAGAGGAGTCCAGACCAAAAGTAGGGAAGTACCTGAGCACAGGTGGAAAGGAATTCTAGTGAATAGGTTCCTGGAAGGCTAAAACTGGGCTGGCATCCTAGCTCTCTGAGCCACAGGTGCAACCTAATTATCCCTAAGCCTTCTTCCAGCCACCACAGGCAGAGTGGGGATGAGTAGAACCCACTTCCATCATCCCGATTCCAGATTACCCCCAGCCAAAACCACAGGCTCTAGGATCAAGAACCTTCCCCCCACCCCAGGCTACTGCCAAACCCACAACTCACCACTGAGAACTTGCCGTCTCCGAACCACATGACCCAGCGGGTGCCTTCAGCTGCTCGGCTCCGGCCCGTCATCCACCAAGACACAATGCGGCCTGGCCACCAGGAGAAGCCCCGCAGTTTCCCCCACACCAGCTCCCCAATGCCAAAGCCCCGGCCGTCCTGGAGCCCCAAGGAGCAGAAATCATTACACAGTGGTCACGAGGCCCTGCCACCCTGATCCCCCCATGGCAACCCCAGCCCTGGGCATCTGGGGGGCAGGACAGCCAGGAGGGAGCTCCATCTGAATGAGGCAAGACAGAGCAAAATCGGGGAGACGAAGAGGCCCGGGGTTAGGTGGAGAGAGCGAGCGGCCCGTGGGAGATGGAGAGAGGAGAGCAGGACGGGAGGAGCTGGCAGTGGAAGGCCCCCGGAAAGAGCTGGCCACGGCTGGTGAAGAAGCAAGCCGCTCACCTCGTACTCTGGCTCATCATCGCCTGCTTTGGTGGCATTCTTGTCCCCAGCATCAGGCCCCACGGGCTCTGGTGTGGTGGCCACAGTGGGGGATGCAGGGTCAGTGGGCTGCTGCACAGCAGGAGGGCTGGCCTCCTCCACCTTCTGAGACTCCCCAGAACCCTGGTTTTCTTCCACAGCATTCATTACTGCAATGACCTTGGCTTTCTTCTCAGCCTGGGGAAACAAAATGCAAGTCACCTTGACCTCTCCAGGAATTGGCAAGGCCACCTGACACTCAAGGGGACCTTCTCAACAAGTGTGTCAAAACCTGGGACAGTGACAGAAGGTCAAGGGCTGGAGAGAGCCAACCAACTGCCTTGCCATGAAAACTGGACAGACCTGAAGTAGAGAGGTAAACTCAAATCATGAAATTCCAGCCTTCTTTTCTGCCTTTTAGGAAAGCTTCCTCCCTGATCTAATATTCCTCAACCTCATCAGCATATCAGTTGCCCACCCTATGACATGGAAATGTTAATTCTTTTTCTTTTTTGTGGTGGAGTCTCACTCTGTCGCCCAGGCTGGAGCGTACTGGTACAATCTCAGCCCACTGCAACCCCTGCCTCCCAGGTTCAAGCAATTCTCCTGCCTCAGCCTTCTGAGTAGTTGGGATTACAGTCATGTACAACCGCCCAGCTAATTTTTGTGTTTTCAGTTGAGACGGGGTTTCACCATGTTGGTCAGGGTGGTCTTGAACTCCTTACCTCAGGTGATTCCCCGCCTCGGCCTCCCAAAGTGCTGGGATTATAGGCGCGAGTCATTGCCTGGCCTATGGAAATGTTAATTCTATCCAAATATTAATCAGGCACTATTGTTTAAGCACAGATACTGGTTCCACCTTCTCCTATCTTACTTCTTAAGACTAGGATCTTCAGTTAGGCATGTGCCTGTAATCTCAGTTACTGAGCAGGGAGGATCACTTGAGTCCAGGTGTTCAAGACCAGCTTGGGCAACATAGCAAGACTCTGTCACCAAAAGTTAAAAAAGCAGGGGGGACCCTCTCTTCTTCTCCAAAACTTCCCTGGGCAATCAATCCCTCCTATTCCTGGTTTCCAGGCCACAATTCTAGTTCTGCGATGTCTGCTGACAATGAAGTCACTGCTCTGGGTTTAAAGAGCCCATCTCCCCCAGCACATGCTCAAACACCATAGGAAGCTCCCCCAAGAGCCTGCCTGTTCCCATGCTCAGATGCCATGCTGGAGTTCTTATGGATCACACCCAGAGTGTATTGTTACCAGATTCAACCCCTTCTGTGTGCACTCTTCAGATCCATAAATACATGTATTCATTCAGTTATTTACTGAGCAGGCACTATAGACCAGGCGTGCTCTCTGCCATCCCACCAACAAATTAATAATCCAAACCCCAGTTATTCTCCCATTGCACAGCCTCCATCCTTTCACCGCATCACACTCGTCTTTCAGGCTACGATCCACGCGCCCATTCCTTCTCACAACCCGCTCCAGGATCCCTACAAAGGAGAATGAAATCCTTGATACTTAGCGGAGAACCATTAGCCTTTTACTGAATCTAGGAGACACGGCCCTCTGACTTCAAGGCTCCACACCCATTTCCACCATACTAGATTCAGACGGGAAAAACCCCATTTTCTACATGCCTTTCAAAAGCGCTTCCCCCAGGGGCCTAGAGCTTCGAATGCAAACCCAACCTCAAGGGCAAAGAGAATGGGGAAGCACCGTGAAGTATGAGGAAGAGCTCTAATCTCAAGTCAGAGCCTCACAACCAGCAGCTGACTCTGAAGCACTCCTTTCTGGTAGGAGATGCTCCAACCTAAAAAGGCACAATGGGAGGATTTTGGGCAAGCTTTCCAGCCCTGTTTAAGAATCTGGTGTACATATGGACTAGTGATTCCAAAGATTCTCCCAAAGCCTGTCAATGGACCCCTAGACCCAAGGGTCCCAGGTTAAGAACCTTTGTTTGAAGCTCAATGGTCTAACATATTATCTTACAGATTCATTTAATTTCATTGAGTCTTCAAGTTTTTGCCTCCAAGCCACAGAACAATTCTGTTTCTTATGGCGATTCTGAAAACACTGAAGATGTTAGTCCTAGTTCTTCCTCTGACTCAACAAATTCTAAAACAGGATAATGCATCCTTTGCCCCCAACCCCCAAACAGCTGGGAAAATGAGCTCACGGATGGTGGAATGAGCTCAGAGATCGGACTGCGGGGGTGGAAGAATGCGGAGTAATTGCTCATCGCTCCCTAGTCCCACTCTCACCTGGCCAGGACTCTGCCCTCCCCTTCCTACTATCAATTAGCCATCACCTCCTCTCCCAGGAGAAGATGCACTGAAGTGTGGACCCCCTACGGGGGAGGGCGCCTCCCTTTCTGGGATCCTCAGCTGCGTCAGTTGCCCTCACAGAGGAGCCCACACCTCGCCGCTGCTCCTCACCCACCATGCCTTCTCAAGCTTCAGGCATGGGTGGCTGACCTAGGGTGGTGCCTTGGATAATCCAAAGACTCTGTTTCCAGAGGTGATGAGGCCCCTGAGCCAATATAAGGTCTGCAAGGGGCAGGGGGCGGGAAGCGGAAAGGACCCACTATCACTTCCAAGGCAGAGGCGGCAGCAGCGGGTGGGCCGGGCTCCTCCCCTGGCTCCCCAGGGCTAGGAGTCGTGCCTGACACCACCCTCAGCACTCCCCCACGGCCCCTTTGTCTCTCTTCTCAGCCCCTTCACAGTGAGTTCCTGAACATTCTTCTTCCTCCACAACTTCCCCCAGCTTGTCAGCTGCTGCGATGCGAGCTGTTCAGCATCCCCAGCCCACTTGGTGCAGAACACGCGCCCGGCCCGGTGAGGGCGGCAGAGGAGGAAGGGGCCTCCATCGGGACTGGGGCAGTGGGGTTGGGGAAGGAAGAAGGGGGTGGGTTAGCAGCGGGAGGCCTGACGAAAGGGGAAGAAGGGGCAGCCGGAGCTGGGTGGGGGAAGGGCCTCATTAGAATAGGCCTGTCTGGGGCACTGGGAAAGCACCCCCTTTCCTCCTGCACTCCTACCTTCCTTCCCGGCAAACGGTAAGAGAAACTGGGGTGAACTCGAGGCTCTCCCATTTGGGCTGCAGGCTGCTCACCCCCAGGAGGGCAGAGAGGCCAGGTGGCATTCAAGAGAGACACCACACCATTTCCCCACTCCCCGCTGGCTCACGGAAGCCACTGGGCCTGAAGTCCCTCCAGCCTGGGAAAGCCACCGGGAACTCCGGTGACTACTGCCTCCCATCCAGTCCCATCTCCTCAGGCAGCTGTGCTGCCTCCCCCTCCCCCGGCGACTGCAGCGCTTCCCATTCCAAAGGTCAGAGGTCTGCGCGCCACCGCCTCCAAGCCCACGCGGCCTTGGGCTACCTTGGTGTCACAGGCCGGTCCCCTGTCAGGGTCTCACTGTGCCCTCCCACCCCCCACCACTTCTTTCTGGCGCCCTGCCCTGAGGCTTCCAGGAACTCGCAGGAGAGGAAGCTGTCCCTCTCCAGAGGCTGCGAGCTGGCAGGGCCCTGAGGACAACGTGGTCCCCAGCCAGGAACGCAGGTCAACAGGGAAGTGCCAGGCACCCATCTGCCAGCTCAGCTGAAGCTGCCTCCAACCCAGCTCCTGGGCCACCAGCTCCGCGTGCCCCAGCTTGCAGTTACCACGGCCCGGGCTCCCGGCCGGCTGCGCTTCCTGTCCCCCGAGGGCGCCAGGTGCCACTGGAGCCCACGAGGAGTGGGGCCTTGGGGCTCGTGGGCAGGGAGGCAGCGGGCCAGCACTAAGTCAGAATCTCCAGAACTCAGGCCGGACCGGGACGCCGCAGCTGCTGCGGGCCGGGGAGGCATACTTGACTCTTTTAGAACCCGGAGGGCTGCGGAGATCCTCCCACCGGCCCTGCCGCCTCCCCGCCCCCGGTCTCCCCCGGGCTCCGTCCAGGAACCTACCCATAAGGCCAGGTGCAGCCCCTCGGCGGTAGCGCTCAGGTGTGAGCCCCGGCCCTGAAGCTCTGGAAGTAGCTGCCCGTCTGGGGGGAGGGGAAGGGGGCGATGGGGCTGGGGGCGGAGGGGGCCACTGTGAGGGGAGGGGGGCGGCGGGGGGGAGGGAGGGAACATTTTCTTTGTCTAGGACTCCAGGTCACGTGGGCCCCGCTGGAGGGCCTGGTTGGCTGCGAGCGGCCCGGGGAGGGGGCCGGCGCTCCGACGCTGGCGCTGGGCCAACCCCTCTCCTCCGGTCCGGGGGGCGCGGGGCCGGGGGGCGAGGCCGTTCCCCGCCCGTTCCCAGGGCCCGCCCAGGCCGGGCGGCACGGAGCGCCCCGCCTCCGGGAAGGCCGCCCGGCCCCTCCCCCAGCTCTGGAAGAGATTAGCGCGGGGCCGGGGGCCCGGGAGGGGAGGGAAGGGGCTTCTCCCCAGCCGCCTGCCCGGAGGGAGCCGGGGGTCCGGACGAAAGCATGCCGTAGCTTTCGGACGGCCTGGGAGAGCCGGGAGAAAGTTGTGAAAAGTGTTTCTCAGAAGCACAACCAAAAAAAAAAAAAAAGAAAAAAAGAAAAAGCTTACAGATAGGAGGCCCAGGAAGCTGCAGGAAAACTCAGCACACAGACGGAGAGTGACAGCAGGCACGCGCAGACTTTGGGAGCGCTCCAGATCGGGGAGTGTTTGGGGGGGGCTCCCGCCTCCAAACTACAGGTGAATGGGGGGAGACTCAAAAAGCGCGACGTGAGGCGGTCAGGCTTCGAGTCCCAGGGCCCCACCGTCACTCCGGGCCTTCCCTGGATTTCTCATTTTCCGATTTGCAAGGTTGGTCGGGGCAAGGGCGCTCCTTCAGAAGTTCAGCAGTTCCTTCATTCCCAGGCTCAAACATCTGCAGATCGAGAAGACCTGACTCCTCTCCTGGGGCCTCCAGGTGCGGCCTCCAGGTGCAGCCTCCGCCATTCAAGCTCCCTCCTGAACAAAGGCACCTACCCCAAGGCAGTCGCAGTCTCTACCCTCAGCCCTCTATTTACATTGGTTGTAGCATCAGATAAAGAAATAGACCCTGTTGGCTCTGCCCTCAGGGGCTGAAGACTTCACTAGACTTGCAGAGATTTGAAAGGATCACTGTAAAACAAACATATATGTAAAGGTAACTATGTCACAAATACCAAGTAGAAAATATGGGCGGCATGGATGACAAAAGAGGTTAGAGGTGAGTTCCAGGTGAGCTGACTGGGCCTGGAGGCTGGATCGGACTTGGAATGAGGTGAGATGGGCGGGATGAACAAGAGCTGCCAGGCTGGGGAGGGAGGAGACCCTCACCCACCTCCACCCTCCCAGAACACAACATGGCAAAGGTAACAGCAAGCCTTCAGGTGCATCCGTGGGTGTATTCTGTAGCAGGGAAGAATAACTGTAGGTTTTCTGATAAGATGAATGGGTATTTTGGAAAGATCAGCCTGGTTTCAATTGGCAAGATGAATTAGAAGGAAGAAGCAAGGAACTGAAGGGAAATGCTCCCAACAGCAGAGGGCTCTTAGGGCAGCGACACTTGTTAGAAGATCTGGACTTGGCTGGGCATGGTGGCTCACACTTGTTATCCCAGCACTTTGGCAGGCCAAGGCAGGAGGATCACAAGGTCAGGAGTTTGAGACCAGCCTGACCAACATGGTGAAACTCCTTCTCTACTAAAAATACAAAAATTAGCCAGGGGCGGTGGCTCGAGCCTGTAATCTCAGCTACTCAGGAGGCTGATGCAGAAGAATTGCTTGAACCCAGGAGGCAGAGGTTGCAGTGAGCCAAGATCGTGCCACTGCACTCCACCCTGGGTGACCGAGCAAGACTCCATTTCAAAAAAAGAAAAAAGAAGAACTAGACTTGAGTTTGTTTCCACCACCATGACCTTAAACAAGTCACTTAACCCCCAAGAAATCTGTTGTCTCATCTGCAAAACAGGAGTGATGACATCAGCCCTCTTGGGCCATGGAATGCCAGCATCTCCTAATGACAGTGAGACAATTCCCTAGGTGCCTGGTTCCCAGCCACAGTCACCTGGGACATACAGGTGCTGGTATAATGAAGTCATGAGATGTGTAGTGAGGGAGCCCACCTCCTCCCAGGGCCATCAGAGCAAGCAATCCCTGAAGAGCAAGGACCCCAAACCAGAGAGTCTTCTATCTAGAAGACTTGGGGGGGTTCAGATTGCCCCCAACCCTGAGACCCAGAATCCATACAGTTAGGAAAAGAAGCTCTTCTAAAAACAAGCAAACAAAAACACAGGCTCTCTCCTGTTCCAACCCACCTTTCAACCCAACTAAGTTATCAGCCTGGTATGCATCTCCAGGGGCTCCCCAAGCAGAAGTGAGAAGCCCGGAATTTGTCCAGAATTTGTCCATCTTGCCTGCTCCCAACCTTTAGGGAATGCGATATGACTTGCTTAGCTACTTCTCTCACTGATACCTCCTCTGCATACATGCCCGGTCAGCAGGACTGAGAACTCACCTCAGGTCTCCTCTCAAAAGAAGTTTCTGGGCTGGGCGTGGTGGCTCAAGCCTGTAATCCCAGCACTTTGGGAGGCCGAGGCGGGCGGATCACCTGAGGTTGGGAGTTCAAGATTAGCCTGACCAACATGGAGAAACCCCGTCTCTACTAAAGCTACAAAAATTAGCCTGGTGTGGTGGCACATGCCTATAATCCCAGCTACTTGGGAGACTAAGGTAGGAGAATCGCTTGAACCTAGAAGTTGGAAGTTGCAGTGAGCCAAGATCATGCCATTGCACTCCAGCCTGGGCAACAAGAACGAAACTCCATCTCAAAAAAAAAAAAAAAAAAGGGAGTTTCTGGTTCTGACTTGGTGGCCTTTTTCAGACACTGTCTCTTGAACGCTACCCCCTCTTCCATTATAACATGGCTAAACCCCTTAGACTCCTCACTCTGGTCTTGGGACACATACTATAATGATGCCGTGTGTGCAGCAAGGACTGAAACTGTCACTTTCTCTTGGCCGACATATTAAGCTATTCCCTCTAGCCATCAAAATTCTTATTCTCATCTTTTAATATTAAAGTCAAATCTTGCCTCTTCCACGCAACTTCCCAACAAGCAAAAGGAAGCCTAGGCTCAAAGGTGTCCCCCTACCAACCTAGAGCATCTTCCCTCTGCTGTAACTATGCAAACAGGAAACACTGCCTTTTCTAGACCCGAAGTCACTTAAACAGAGATGTGTCTTCTTTGTAGTCAACAGACAGAGTCAGACCCCAAAGCAGAAGAGACCCCAAGATCTAGGGCAGGGGTGATTTTAGTAAAAGGAAAAATCCCATTACTAAAATGGAGCAATCTTCAAGGATCCTCAGGTCACACATGCTCTTCAGCTTCCAAAGTAAACCTCCCTGGTAGTTTACCAGATAGGTCTTTTGATTGAGATAAAGATAGCCAACCTCAAATAGCAGCATCATGTAAAATAAGCCATGTTCTTGAATTTGTTATAAAAGTATGTTGAAAGGAGGAATTCCTGGATGAAAAGAAAATGTGCTGGATGTCAAGAGCCTAAAAGAGGTGCTGGAAAGGAAGTATTCAGTGTGATCCGACAGAGAGAGTGACCTGAGAGCGAGGGCACAGTTCCTGTTTGGCGGGCAGACGACAGTGATCCCACAGGCTGCCAACGCCCGATGAAAAGGCCTCTAAAGGACACCTCTCTGCCCTGATCACGTATTCATCAAGCAAACTTCTAATTCTAATTACGTGTTCCTATGACTCTGACATCAGCAAGTTGCCAGAAAACAGCAGGACAAGGTCTGTTATCAGTTGGTAAATCTAACATTCTGGGCTGTGTCTCTGAAGCTTTCCTGGGTCTTTGAAGAGTCATGATCATAAGTGTGTTAATGTGACTTTCCAGCCTCAAAGAACTGAGATGAGACACTAGGCCATCATGATACCTCACCAAAGAGCAGCAGTGCCCAGAGCTCATGCCTCACGTTTTAACTCAAACTTCAGTGCTCTGTGGCATGCTCTGTCATAAAATCCAGTTCTGGCAGGATGAGGGTAGATTATGTTGCTGCCATCCCACAAGACATTTACCATGTGAGTCTCTTTACTCTAAATCAGAGAAGCCTTGGCCCCTATAAAGCCATCTGCAAAGCAACACATGGGAAGTCACTGCATGATTTCTGCCCCATACATATTCCCACCAACCCCAAGACCAGGGGAGACCTGATCCAGACAAAAAAAAAGGTGAAGATGGATGACTGTTCTGAACCTGTCCTTCTCCCACCTTTTGATAGCTCAAAAGCATCAATGCCAATCAGTCAACATTCTGCGTGACATTCTAGGCCCCCACGAATCTGGAGGCCTCAGTGTGATAGCAGGAAGCCCACGCTTTGCCCGCCCACTTGCTATTCCGCATGCTGTTCCTTCTTCCTGGTAGACTCCTCCCCTTCAACTTTCACCACTAAAACCCTGCATATCCTTCTACACCAGTCTGCCAGTGACCTCCCCATGAACGTTTCTCTAGCCCTGCACTGTCCAGGACAGTAGTTAGTGGCTGCATGTGGCTATCTGAATTAAATACAAATTAAAATTGAGCTCCTCAGTCACGCTGGCCACATTCCAAGTGTCCAAGAGCCACATGTGGCTGGGGGCTACTGAATTAGATGGCACAGATTTTAGAACATTGCCATCATCCCAGAAAGTTCTTTTGACAGTGCTGCACTGGCCCCTCGCCTTTATCTTCCCCTACTGTCCCTTATCTTCAACCCCATCCCCACCACAGTCCCCTAGCATTTTGTAAGCCTCCGTTGTGACCTGCCAGTCTTTGCCTATGCGAAGGTGACTGTGTATTCATCTTTCTCCTTTGCAAGATTAAATATTCCTAGAGGGAAGGGACTGGACCTCATTCACTTTCGAATGGAAGCAGTGTGTGCTAGAGCACCTTGGCCTTATGTAAGAGAGGATTAAAACTGTTTGCTGAACTGAATGCAGTGTCATCTCAGGAGCCTTATCCCAAATCCATTGCCCAAGTTCCAAGTTGGAGAGCAGATCCCTTTCATAGCAGGAATTCTCATTGTTGCTAAGAGGTCCCAGTCTAGGGCTCCCAAAAGAGGCCGGGAATCTTTGTTTTTTATTCCCTTGCTATCCATATGGAGGTTGCAAGCAAATGACCAGGACTGGGCTGCTGGCAGTGAAGCTAAAAATAGCCATGGAGCCAACAGCATGGAGTTCGCAGGACTTGTTGCTAAGGAGACCAGTCGCAGAGAGAGCAACTAAGCACGGGAAAGGTGTCCAATGTGCACCCAGAGAGCAGAGGGGTCCAAAGGCTCGCACCTAGCGATGTTCTGCCTTCTGGCAGCTCCTGGCTGATGCTCTAAGTGGGGCAAATGTTCCCCCTGTCCCTCAGTAACCCATCTCCATGGAAACCACCAGGACTGGGGTGAAGTACCAGCCCCTGGAAGGGAGGCCTCTGCTTGGAGCCTGTTGTTATGGCAACATCCCCCCTTCCTGTCATTCTCCCTCTCCTGGCTTCTCTGGAGGGAGAGAGGTGGGAGTCTGGTCTTGGCTTAGCCGGCATGACCAGGAAACACCCGCTTCCTGACAGGACTAGCCTGTAAGGGGCTCTCTAGAAGCTCCTGGAAGCCTGGAGAAGCCAGTCAATCCTCAGCACAGGGCAGAGTTTCCTTTTCTTTTCACGAGGACCTTGCAGATCATCTCGCCAGGAGAATCCTAGACTCCCGTTTGTTTGATTGCATCTGGATCACCCAAGGAGGGCTTTAAAAATACAGATTCTTGGGCTTTACCTACAGATTCTGGCTTTACCTTCACCCAGGCTTAGGGTGGGGCCCAGGAATTTATTAAAACCTCCCTGGGTAATTCTAATATTAGCCAGGTGTGGAAACACTGATGGCCCTGACAGTCTCACAAATGAGAAGACTGAGGCCCAGAGAGGACCGAGCCCACCTGAAGGGTCAGAGCCATTCATTCAAGAGGAAGTGGTCTGGAGAGAGGAGGAGAGCAGGAGATGAAGGTCAGCTCCCTCAGAGTATGCGTCCTGGGTGAGTCCCTCCTTTGGGCCTTTCTGGCCTGCTCCCAGTTCATGCACAACCTGCTGCTGTCTGATACAGGACTGATATTTCAAACCAAAGCCCCTGACAAGCTGCCCCCTGTGGTAGAATGCAGAAGGTAGGGGGCTAGGAGTCTGCTTCTCAGAGTGAACAGAATAATGGTAGCCCAGGCAGATGATGTGGGCTGAAAGAGAAATACATCCTCCTGAAGAAAAGCAAAAGGGTCACCATGGCAACTGCAGTGAGCCGCCTGGTTGGGCTCTATGCCATCGCCCCAAACCTGGGCCCTGCAGCAGAACCTCCTCCCTGAGTCTGGGGAGAAGAGCGGAATTTGGACAAATGCTCTGGGGCAGGGGCATCCCCCAACCCTTGAACTGATCAGTCTAGTTTTAGAACCTGTAAGGGAACTGTGCTTTATCCTGGGAGGCTGCCTGAAGCTCACTTAAACCCCAGCTTGGTCAGCCCTCAGCACCTGCAGTAGGTAGGCTGGGGGAAGGGAACCAAAGAGGTGCAAGTGCTAGCAGATGCCATGGGCCTTGAGTCTTCGGTCACAGCCTAATTGTGTGCCCAAGACCCACCACACATTAAACCACAGCCCTCATTCAAGACAGTATGCAATTAGATGGTAAATTATGTGGTAGGGATGCTTTCTCTACATGTGCCGAAGGAAATCAGAGGCGGCTGGGATCAGTGAAGGCAGGAAGGCTCAAGGGAAGATGAAAGAGCGGAAACTAGGAATGGGCACAACCTCCCAGGTTTTTCAGACAGGAGCAGCCAGATCTGGGGGGCATCTGCAACTGCATGAGCTTCCTGGCAGATGAATGGCAAAAATGAAAAGCACAAGCACAGCCTAATGGTGTCTGTTAGGGAGGGGAAGTGGTAAGGGGCTTTCTGCACTGACACTCTAGGTGAATTATTCTAAATCAAGAGAGTAAGATGCAAGGTGGGAAACCCACCTGCTGGAAAGGAGTCCTTCCCTCTTGCTGATCCCCTCACCTCCCCTTCTCTCCCCACGTCCAGCCCAGAGCCCCTGGCTCCCTCATTCTCTCCCAGCCAACCCTACACTTCCCTAATGGTGTATGCTGGGAAGTCCCAGCCCACCGGATGCACCACCAGGCTCTGTAGCTTTGGGAGCTGACTTCCCTTTCCCTGTAGCTCTGGGTCTGTCCCATAAGGGGAAGGCTTCTCCACAAACGCAACTCTTCCTTCCTCGTCACTTCCACCCCCTATCCTGGAACTGCTGGGTCTGCACAGCTCTACCAGTGACTGAGCCTAGGGCTAGGGAGCAGAGATGCCATGGCAGGGGTGGGAAGGTGGCAGTGCCCCTTAGCAGGAAATTCAACTGGGAGGGGATACCAGGTCTTTTCCCTGAGCAGGGGCATTTTACAGCTGATGACAAGACCTCAAATAACCCCTA